AATACTATGGCTTAGAGATGATTTAATCTAAAAACTTCCCTTTTTGAGGTCTGCTGAAACTATTTTTATGCTCTCTTAAAACAGTTCATATTTATTATTAAACACCCAGTGTTCTTTTACAAATTGCAGCTGAAAACTCTTTTTTGTACCCTCACACGTAGAAAAATGATCTATCGAGTAGTTTCCTATAAAACCTTCACCTGATTATAAATCAGGTTTCAGGTTAGCACATTTTTTTTACCCGAGATTGTAAAGAAGCTCAAGAGATACCAGCCCTGTTAAACATCTGATATGAGCAGCCACTCACCGTCCGCAAATTAATAAAAGAATTTTAATATTCTCGAGGTTTTGGATTTGATTGTCATTCTGAGGAGCGAAAGCGACATTCTGGGTTGTTTGATAAATGCAGACTTCCCAAGGTGGTGAAACACTTTCCTCGTGTTCTTCTGCTTCACCTACAGAAAAAGAAATAAATCAAACTAAAACTATTTTGTTGTCATTCTGGTCCACACACATACCCCCGCTGAAAATAATCTTACACTTTAAAGGATAACATCCTCATTTTACATTATTTGTTGAATATTTTTGCAGATGAAGTTGAATGTTTGGCTCTTTTGAGACCAGACCAAATGAGATTTTTACTGCCCATGTTTGATTTTTTCTGTACAGAAAAGATACGACTTCCTTAAGTGAATTATATTTCCTCTTTAGATGTTTTTATTTTGCATATTACTTAAATAGATTTCACCACCATGGATTGGAATATTTGATCAACCTATTCGTTGTCAGCTCTCTTCCCAGTTGCTTCTCCGCTCAGTCACAATTCGGGTCAGCGCTTTAGGCTATTGGCTTTGATTAATTCTAAATGTGACGAGGGACGGCAATTTATTTTCTAATGAATGAATGTTGCACCTCAGTTGTTTCCTAATTAGTTCAAACCTCAGACATTAATCACTGAAAGTGAGGCTTCATTGTGGAGGACTATCGTGTATAAGCTCTGTTTTGCAGATGATTTGTGTGTGTGAGTGTGTGTGTGTGTGTGTGTGTGTGTGTGTGTGTGTGTGTGTGAAACGTCACAGTGTGTGGCTATTGACCAACAGCAGCCCATCACACAGAGATCAATTTATTGTTTACAGAGGACGTGTTTGCCCAGCTGATTCAGTTGGACACAAATTGAGAGAGATACACAGAAGGCTTTCTGCAGTCGCCCCCTGCTGGCCAGAACACAAAACACTGGATCAGATTAAGCGTTCAGCAGCTTCACTTTGGATTCACTCCTGACCATTTGGTGTTTACTTGGGTTCTCCATCAGTAAAGCAAGGACTCGTAGGACTCGTGTGAGCTTTTCAGAAATTCATAAAAGTGCTAGTCTTACACACACACACACACACACACACACACACACACACACACACACACACACACACACACACACACACACAAAGACAAGTAATGTGTCTACAGTTATATTGTGATGTCTTAGTAAATATTCTATTAGGTGAGAGATAAACTTTATTGTATTTATCCTAGTGGATAATTAAACGGATAAACTAGTAGTAGCACATCAAAAGTCAATGAAAACAAAAAGTTATTATCAGGAGAGAGAGAATGTTTAAGTGGTTAGCAGCAGTGTGCTAGTCGATGGCCCCCTCCATGAGGCCACCACAGCTGAGCAGAACGTCATTGTAGCTTCTTCTGGGGAGAAAAACACTTACAGAGAAAATAAAGTTAACAGCTGAAATTGCACAAAATAGTACAGTTAAAGAGCAGACTGTAGAAGAAAGCAGTAGAGTGTGAAAAGTGGTCAGTGTATCCTCCAGCAGTCTAAGCCTATAGCAGCATAACTACAGAGTTAACTCTGGATAACCTATCCTATTTAGATGGAGGCATGTTGGAGGCAGGGCAAGGGAGAGCTGTCTTTACCGACTGTACACTCCACCTCCCTCTACTCCCCCACTTGTCCAGATTTAGGCTAACATCAGATTTTAACCATAGGCCCTATCAAATAAAAATGTTTTAAGCCTATTCTTAAAAGTAGACAAAGTGTCTGCCTCACGGACTAAAGCTGGGAGCTGGTTCCACAGGAGAGGAGCCTGATAACTAAAAGATCTGCCTCCCATCCTAAGTTTAGATATTCTTGGAACCACCAGTAGACCTGCAGTCTGAGAGCGAAGTGCTCGGTTAGGAACATATGGAACAATCAGATCACTGATGTATGATGGAGCTTGATTATTAAGAGCTTTATATGTAGCATAGCATAGCATAGTTTATTTATATAGCACATTTAAAATGCAGCATGGGAGCTGCCCAAAGTGCTGCACAGGCTAAAACAAAACACACCCATTACAAGGAGCTAAAACTAAGGATAAAATCTCAATTAAAAGCAGAGAAAACATGAATAATAAGAACACATTAAAACAATGACACAATAAAACACTAAAACGAGTCACTGTCTAAAAGCCAAAGTGTAAAAGTGGGTCTTTAAACGAGATTTAAAAACCGCCAGAGATGGAGCCTGCCGAACTCCAATGGGCAATGAGTTCCATAGCTTTGGGGCAGCATGGATAAATGCTCGTTCACCCCGCGATTTGAGCCTCATCCGCGGCGTGTGCAGCAGCAATAGGTCAGCCGACCTCAACGAGCGGGTGGGCACATATGGAGTGAGAAGGGCAGAGAGGTAGGAAGGTGCCAGGTCACTGAGCGCTTTAAAAACAAAAGTCAGTAACTTAAACTGCACTCTGAAAATGACAGGGAGCCAGTGAAGATGTGCCAGGACAGGTGTAATGTGGCTACGTCGGTGTGTACCCGTCAAGAACCTGGCAGCAGCATTCTGAACAACCTGCAGCCGATTCAGGGCAGAGTCCGGAACACCAACGAGGAGGGCGTTTGCATAGTCCAGGCGAGAGGTAATGAATGCATGAATGACTGACTCCAAATGCCTCCGTTTCAGGATTCGTCTGAGGTGAGTAAGGCGGCGAAGCTGATAAAAACACGACCTCACTACAGAGTTTATCTGTGGGGCCATTGTGAGTCCAGCATCCAGCTTGACCCCGAGACTCGTCAGAGAAGAAGGATCTTAAAATCTATTCTTAATTTAACAGGTAGCCAATGTAGGGAAGCTAAGACAGGAGAGATATGATCTCTCTTTTTCATTCTCATCAGAACTCTAGCTGCAGCATTTTGGACAAGCTGAAGACTTTTAACTACATTCTGTGGACTTCCTGAGAGTAATGAATTACAGTTATCCAGTCTTGATGTAATAAATGCATGAACTAGTTTTTCAGCATCACTCCTGGAAAGTATGCTTCTAATCTTAGCAATATTCCGAAGGTGGAAAAAGGAAATCCTACAAACTTGTGTAACCTGGGATTTGAATGACGTCCTGGTCAAAGATAACACCAAGGTTCCTTGCTTTGTTCTCGGAGATTAATGTAATGCCATTCAGGTCAGGCGATTGGCTATGCAATTTCCTTTTCTGGATTTCTGGTCCAAAGATGAGAACTTCCGTCTTGTCTTGATTTAAAAGCAAGAAGTTAAGAGTCATCCAATTTTTTATGTCCTCAAGACAAGCCTGTAATCTACCCAACCTATTAGGTTCATCAGGGTTAATTTGGTTGGGATTGGATCCAAAATGCAAGTTGAAGGTTTAGATGAAGCTAATATTTTTGATAACTCTGAAAGCTCAACTGGATCAAAACGGTTCAAGCATTCTGATTAATATATATATATATATATATATATATATATATATATATATATATATATATATATATATATATATATTAATTAGTGTTTTCACTGATAACACTAATTAATTTATATTTGATCTTGATGGTGAAACCAAAGGCATTTAACACTGAACACCTAACATGAATGCAGCTTCTGAGAGCTAGCTAATATCAGCTAAAACTGTGTTCTGCTGCTGCTCACCGTCCTTCTACTTGCTTCTGTTCAATTAACTTTTTCTCCTTCTCCTTTTCTTTTCTTTTCTGGAAGCCAGATTTCCCTTTCTTGGGAAAGGACATGACTGACTCTCCTGCCTCCAGCTCTGGCTGTGGCATCTGCGATGTCTCATTAGCTGTACATGCGGCCGTGCAGCCCCTGGCCGCTGGTGTGGACTAAACCACTTTGCACATTTTTAAGGGGTGATAGATGCCTCAGAGATTATTCAGTTATTATTTTTAAGGCAAAATTCTGTTTCTTAACCTCTTTATCCAGGTAAAGGGAAGTTTATTAAGACATTAAGTAAGTTGGGGGGAAAAAACAACAACAATAAAACATTTTTATTCAAAGCTGTCTCAGGGCCCCTTCCTGCAGTGGGCCCTGGGTAAACGCCCCCCCCCCCCCCCCCCCCCCAGTTGACGCCCCTGACCTTTAGCATCACACTGTTCCTTTATTTGTGCCTTTGCATAACTAATACAGAATCTACTGTGAGTATGTCTTTGATAATTATCACAGAGGTTTTGCTTCTCCTAAAGGATATGCCCCTTCTGTTGCTTTTATCGCCAACCTTTTTAATTTCTGGTTAACCCACAGGAGTTTGTGAACATGACCCTGTCCTGGTGCCACGTCGCCAGCTTCGCTGAGACAACAACACGATAAGGAATCAATAGCCTCCTTCTAGTTCCTTTCACACTGTGATTGAAAGGTGTGAACAAGTGTGTGGCATTAAAATAGGTTTTCTCAGATGTCTTGCTTTGATCCAAAATTGGTAAGTAGATCAAACAGCAAATGTGTTGCATGTGAATGTAAAATACATGCATGAGTCCAGAACATTTATGTGCTTTTGATATTAAAATAGACCTTTTTAATCTTCTCCAGGGGAAATAAGTCGAATCAATCATGCTCGGGTTTTGAGGCAATGCGTTTTATGTATGCAAAACCACGCTTACCTGTTTAGCCACATAGCTGCACATGAATGGATTTTGTATATGCTGCTGCCACACACGGTTAACATCTGTCTTCTAGTGTCAATACATTTCAGTAATTTGATTCAGTTGAGTCATTTGTTCTGTCACGGTTTACCTGAAACACATTTCCATTAAAGTCCGTACATGGTAGCCCAAGTAAATAATAATAATAATAATACATTTTATTTCAAAGCACCTTTCAGGACACCCAAGGTCACAAATGTCATCTTGTGTAAAAATGGATAAGGGAAGCGAGATCTAGAGAGATGTTCCTGTCTTATTTCCTGGATGTAAGGAAATTAGCATTTGTCTCAAACACCAAGTTCAGTCGTTCCTCCAACGCATTTTCAGTGGTCTCTAGTATAAGTCAATGTCTTGTGAGTCGATTCCTGAGAAGAAAACAAGATTTGCAGCTTGTGTTTCAGGAACTTGAGCCAGAGCAGGTGGAAGCAGAATGTTGCAGGATGTGGAGTATTATTTCCTGATATTTGGACATGTCATCTCTGATTGGCTGATAACAACACACCTCAACCACAAACTCAGTTTGCACTGCAGTGGTAACGTTTTGTATGTCTGAAGCAGTTCTGCCATGTGGAGTTGCCAATGCTAATGGTTAGCTTCAACTAGCCGAGAGGCTCTGCTGAACGCTAAATAGCAACAGCAGCATTTCCCTAAGATGGGTGAATCCATAAATGCTGATTTTCATTTTGACATGGAATTGACTGACTTTTCTAATCCAAGAGTTTACCTGCAGCAAAGCATAAAAAGCACTAAAAACATCTCACTAGTGCCACATGCATCCATTTGGTTTCATGTCAACCGATACTGTAATTATGTTCCAGCAATATCTATTTTAGCACGGCGCCAACAACCACTCCCCATGACAAACCCAGATTAAGTGAGCTTTATTAAGAACTACAAAGTACTGATATTTATTTTAGAAATTATTACATAATGAAGATGTGGAAACTTGCAATTTTCTTGAGATGAAAGGATATTTTAAATGAAAAAATGCGAACCATTTGTGTTATTTAAATATGTCTGCTGAGGATTATTTAGGGAGTGTTTCTCCACCTCCACCACATGAAAAGTGCAGTTTGGGGTAAAGCAGAGGTTTTTCCAGTAGTAGTCGTTTTGCACATATGGAGCAATTACCTAAATAACAAGAACAACCTAAGATTAATCTACAGTAACAGATATCTACAGTAACATTTCTGCAGATATGTTTCAATTACCGTTGTCGAGTCATTTCATGAGTATGTCCAGAATTGAAAAATTTACTAGTGATAAAGATTCTGTTAAAGCTACATGATATAATGCATCTTGATAGGAGCCAGTTGAGGTTGCTCAGGCATTTGGTCCAGATGCCTCCTGGACGCCTCCCTGAGGTTCTCCGGGAACGACCGACTTGGAGAAGACCTAAAGGAAGACCCAGGACACGCTGGAAGGTCTATGTCTCTTAGCTGGTCAGGGAATGAGGAGAGGGAGATCTGGGCCTCTTGTCCTAGGGTGCTGCCCCCACGATCCAACTCCAGATAAACTGATTAAAATGGATGGATGGATAAAATGCATGTTGCTATAACCATAGCTTTATGTTTTCCTGTTTCTTCATCCTTTCACGTCTTCCTCTGCATCTTTTTCCTCGTTTGTCTTAGTCACTTTTACCTATTTCTCCCCCCTCCTCCTTCCTCTCCATCCCCTTCAGCTTTTTTGTCCTTTTCTTTCACTCCTTCTTCATCAACTTTTGCATCTTCTTTTACCACTTCTCCCTCATCCATTTCTTCTTCGACCTCCTCTCCAGTCAGACGCTCCAGATCTGCGATTCGTTGCTTCAGAGCTTGGCCAGAGGCTTTATAATTTCCTAAAACCTTCTTAAGCTTCACCTGCATCAGCTCCATCGTTGTGTACAACTTGGTGACCTTCTCCTCCAGCTCTTTAGTCTCAGGCTTGATGTTGGCCGGATCCAAATCTATCAAACCGTCTTTCATTAAGATCTGCCGTCCCTTTTCTTCTAGCATGGCTTTGGCATCTGGGTACTCTGTCAGTGACTCCATTAAATCATCCTTAGACAAGCAGAAGAGGTCAGAATATCCAATGCTGCGAATATTAGCCGTCCTCCTGTTGCCTGCTTTGCTGCCTTTAATATTAAGTATGCTGATTTCACCAAAATAGCTTCCACTTCCCAACACAACAAATTGCGTGACACCATCATCAGCAACAACCGCAAGCTTTCCATCTTTTATAATGTACATCTCACGACCGATGTCACCCTTCTTGCAGATGTAATCTCCAGGACTGAACACCTGTGGACGGAGTTTGAGCACCAGCTGGATTAAAAGACCTGCCTCACAGTCTGCAAAGATACGAACTTTCTGCAGGGTGTCCATGTGGACCTGGATGGCTATTTCTGCTCTCAGTTTGTCTGGGAGGTACCGCAGCACCTCTCTCTCGTTCTGGGCCTTCCCGTTATTCCACAGGTAGTCAAACCACTTGATGACTCGCAGCTCAAGTTCCTTGCTGACTCTTCGGACCTAAAAAATGAAAAAAATAAAAAGATGCTAGCATTAAATTAATTTAGGGCAAGGGTTAATTCAATGGCCTTTGCAAGTGCATTCTGTAAGGCAAGATGTTTCACAATTTGTAAGAAATAAGGCTGTATCAGAGCATTAGACAGGCCCCTATCCTCAGATTGTTTGAGTCACTATTTGAAAATTATTATTGTCTAGCCTTTGACGCAGATGATCTCTGAACATACCAGCTTTCATTGCTTTTTTGGCTCTTAAGTCTTTAATTGTGCAACATTTTCACAGTTTTTAGTACAATTGTCTGTTTTTTGTAGATTTTTTTTGTCATACACATACTTATGTGTCCGGTACTTTGGTCTCCCAGTGAAATTGCAAAATAATTTTTGCTCAACAATGCAATAAACAAGCACTATATTAATAAATAAAACAAATTATTTAGATCTTTTAAAAAAGGGTCTCAAATGTTTGCTTATAAAAAACATTAAATTCTATTGATTTGTTAGAAGTTTTACCTAATCCAGGAGTTTTATTTCCATGTTGAACAAATGGCTCATGAGAACACCTTACATTTTTATGAGAAATTACATCTCAATATTGCCAGCGGTGGCTACCGTTTCCCTGGGGAGTGTAGATTAACATGATAGAGGTTCTTTAATGTGCTTCTGTTAATGGACCAAATCCTAAAGGCTTGAAATGAAGTTGAACGCAACAGAAAATCTCAAAGGTTGAACTTAAAGTGCTTAATATCAATGTTTCTCACAATACAGAGTGTTTGAGTGAAGAGTCAGGGCTGACTTTTTGCCATTATCACACCAAATTTTGGTTCAATGTTTATAAATCAACTGTTATGGTTTTTTGAAAGTCAGTTTACTCAGGCAACCATCTTACATCAGGTTGACTCCAACAGTTGTGCAAGTACAGTGGTTTCTCATTTTTGAGGTTGTCATTAAAGTGGGTTGTTAGATGTTTGCACATAGTCAAACGGCGTAGACTCCATCCATCCATCCATCCATCCATCCATCCATCCATCCATCCATCCATCCATCCATCCAACCATCCATCCATCCATCCAACCAACCATCCAAGGTTTGGAGCAAAGATCTTACTAAATCAGCCGTTCCAAATAGATACACCAGAGATGAGTCTTTTATACTACAGCATCAAACCTTTATTCAGTAGCTTTAAAACTGACTGATTTGACGGATTTTAATTGTTTAGAAGTTCAGTTGGTGGAATTCTTGATAGGTTATTTAAGTACATGATTATTTCTTCATTTGTCCTGTGGTTTATTAAAAAAAATCAGCAACAAAAAATTCAGACGCAGGCAAGAAAATATAGTTAGCTCATCATCTGTCTATGGGTGTTAACAATAAAAAGGTATGATAAAGACTTGAAGTGGATATTCACCTGCATGTATTGTTTGATGTTGTCAATGCGAGCCTGAAACTGGGCTTGGGCTGCATTCATATTGGAAATCATGGTGGCTATGTTTCCCACTATGGTGGCAAAGATCAAGACTCCGACTAAGAAGTCCATAACATGGAAGAAAAATTCTGAGTCAAGAGCTGGGGGTGGGGTTTCTCCAATGGTTGTCAGAGTCAGAGTGGACCAGTAGAGGCTGAAAGCGTACTTTCTCATTGGTTGTCCAAACTCAGGTTCCTCCGGATTATCCAAAGCAGGGTAGACCCAGTCATCAGCTCCAAAGCCAATGGATTTAGAGAAGGAAAAGTACAGGCAGGCATTCCAGTGGATGATAATGAGGATGTACATGATTAGGTTTGCAATGCGGAAGATGTTTGGGTAGTTTGTTTTAGTCTCGGTCCTGGTGAAGAACTCCATCATTCGGCCAATTCTCAGCAGCTTGTTGATGCGGATCTCTGGATAGTCGAGGCCGAGGATAAGGTAGAAGATGTCTGTGGGCAGCATGGAGATAACATCGAGACGAAACTGAAAGCTTTTCATGTACTCATCTCGAAGCAGCTTCTCATCTTTCACCAGCAGGCCTTGCTCAAGGTAGCCTGTGAGAAAACAAAAAACATTGTGTTTTTTTCCATCAATATGATGACTTAGGTCCATAAAAAGTTGTTCACCTGCCCTCTCGAACATCCCCTGTGCTCATTTATGGAGCCTACTGAAGCGAGGATAGATTGATTCCTGTTATTGACACAACTGTGAGTGTAATGGGGAATATGATTTATAAACTGTTTAGTGCATGAAGGAAACTAAACTTTCAAGTTTAGCATTAGCCAAAATTGCAATAAAAATGACATATTTGAATGTCCGAATGTTAAAATGCTCTGACGTGTTGACTTTTCTGTTTCTTTTTTCATTGTTGCTACGAGCAGCACAACAAATGTTCGAGCAGTATTGTCTAAATAACGACTGGTCAACATGGTGACACTAAATTGTGATAGATTTGAACGTGTTGACAATCTGCCGAACAGAAAGACAAAGGTCCATGGACTGCCCGTAGGGATGAGAAAGTGTGCTCAAGGATGGTTTCCGCCAGGGCCATTTTAGATGTGACACATTCTAAGGCTGATCGCTCCTCATGAAAGAAACTAAAGCCTTGGGCGGCCCGGAGACAGACGTGTCATTTTAAACAGAAGACATTATAGTTAATGAGAGTGGCTACACGGGCAGCGCCGCATCCCAGAAGCGCTGCGGCGCTGAAGAAAGGCACCAGTTCTATTTCAAGCCCTGCCGTTTACTACATTATGGAATACTTTACAACAGACATTATGACGTGGAACGGCTTTACGACACATACCCAGCCGCAGTTTTGATAACTTATCCTAATGATCTTAAAATATTCTAATAAATAGCGTGCTTATCCATTTTTTATGAATTAGAGTTGCGCGGATACAAGCGGCCGAAAAGAGTTTTCTCCGAAGAGCGGCTGGGCTCTCCCTTAGAGAGATCATGAGAAGCTTGGTGATTCGGGAGGGGCTCGGAGTAGACCCGCTGCTCCTCCACATCGAGAGGAGCCAGTTGAGGTGTCTTGGGCATCTGGTCAGGATGCCTCCTGGACGCCTCCCTGGTGAGGTTTTCCGGGCACGTCCAACCAGGAGGAGACCTAAAGGTAGACCTCGGACACATTGGAGGGACTACGCCTCTCACCTGGCCAGGGAACGCCTTGGGATTCCCCCAGAGGAGCTGGCCCAAGTGGCTGGGGAGAGGGAAGTCTGGGCCTCTTGCCTTAGGCTACTGCCCCCGCGACCTGACTCTGGATAAGCGGATGAAAATGGATGTATGGATGGATGGATGGATTGAGTCTCACAAAACACGACGCCAAGTCTGATCACGTATGAACAAGAGCCACTTCCCGCTTCCTGTTCTCAAGTCCCGCGTGATGTTGTGACTATCGCATGTATTTCCAAGAAGCGCTCAGCGGCGCGGCGCATCCTGTGTGACCATTTAGCTTCCCAAAATGCATCTATCTCTGGTGTGCACCATGCAGGCTTTAATCTCTCAATGTGTGTTTATTTGATTATCATCTAGGTTTTTTTTTATGATGACAGTTCTGATAGTCGATGGTTTACATCCATGTCAAAGACCAAATTTAAATTTCCAGTGTGGGGAAAAAAGCTCTGGGGCTCTTGATTCAGGAAGTGGCAGGATCTGGAGTCTTACTTCCTGATATTCAGACATCTCACCTCTGATTGGCTAACAGCAACTCAACTCTCCCACATCCTTTGTTTGCCTGAAGGAGTTCTGCCATGTTGTGGAATTGCTAATACTAACAGTTAGCTTCTACTAGTCAAGACATGTTCTGGTCTCTTCTGGACGCTAAGTCAACAACATCCTTCCCCTTCACACGCCAAAATGGGTGAATCCATGAATGAACTGTCATGTGATGTAGATCTGACTGGTCATTCTAATCAACGTGTTTCCCATCTGTTTTCCATTGACGGCTAACGCAGGAAATAGGAGCAAAAGACTGTTTTCACATTCAGCTTGCATGTGAAACTCAGAGTGGTCGATCATTTTTGAAAAATGGAAAGTAAAAAAAAAAGGTTTCTCAGTGAACTTGGTCTTTAATTAACAGCTGAAGCAATGTTTTAGGATTAGCAACGCCTGATAGCATAGGAGAAAGTTTTTGTGTCTGGCTAAAGAGGAGGCCTTCCATTTCTCACCTGTTCGGGTCCTGAAAAACATATCAGCCAGGTAGATAAGGTCAGAGGTGTAGTCCAAAAGAACCCAGTAGAGGATGTAGTCACGCTGCAGCTCCTCAAAGCACGCTCTGTTGACAGGAAATAAGCAGGTATAACCCTCAGAACTTCACGCACACACACATTCACTGTTTCATAGACCTAGTGTTAAATTAATGAACTCAGCCTTTTTTGTCCGCAATTCCAAAATGCTACTTAATGGTAGTAGAATAATCAGGATTTTTGACAGTTCTACGGTAAAATATCAGTAGATTCACCTGGCTATGATCATGGTCCAATTATACATCACAGGTAAAGTGATGAAGAAAAGCCAGTTGTAATATAAATTCCCAGCAGGATTGATGACAAAAACCTCTTTAGGCCTGACAAAACACACACACACACACACACACACACACACACACACACACACACACACACACACACACACACACAATTAAAGGTTAATTTAATTTAATGTAGAAAGGCAAAAAAATGTGGTTTTTTGTGTTTACTTACTTTTCTTTGTCCTTTTCCTTTTCTTTCTCTTTTTCTTTTTCTTTTTCCTTTTCTTTTTCCTTTTCTTTTTCCTTTTCTTTTTCCTTTTCTTTCTCTTTTTCCTTTTCTCTAGCTTCTTTTTCATCCTTCTTCTTCTTTTTTCTGTGCAACAACAAATCAAGGATTGCTGAGCACCTCATGTAATATTATTTTTGACATTTGGGTTTTTATGTAAAAATGTTTACACTTTCTTCTCTTTCTTCTCTTTTTTCTCCTTTTTCTTTTTCTGCTTTTTTTCCCTGGGAATGAAAACAACATTTATTTGGTTTACTGAAAAGACTCAAGGTGTATCAAGAAGAAATGACGGTCTCTCATCTATCTTGGTGTTTTAAATCCAACTCACTCTTCATTGTTATTACTGTTATTCACATTGGCCAGATGATTTGATGGAGGCGCCCTTCAGGAACAAGAACAGCATGAAACACGAGAAGTTAATTAAGTGACAAGTCTTTCCCCATTAGTGGTTTGAGGAATTATAAAGTCTGCATTTAAATAAGCATTGAGAGTGCCTTTGAAGTGTGCCTTACAAGTCATCATCTTCACTTTGCTCTTCACCGTCTGTTGTTAGCTCTGCTGCTACATGAGCAGCTGGAGAGATGCTGGGGAGGGTGGTACATGTCGTCATGGTGACCGATATCAGGTCTGACCTGAAAAATTGTAAAAATAAGAGCTCAAATGTCAGTGATCTTCTACAAACTTCCTAACACGCTACATTAAATTACAATGATGAATCATAAATAACCAGCTAAAGAAGACAAACATGCTTTTTAAGTTCAGTGTAAATGTAAAACAGTAAATGACCACAAGATTCCTAAAATATAAATAATATTACATTTATTAAAGGGATTTTTCTCCTTTTGAAGTGTTTCGCTTTGTATAAAGACAAAGTACTTTTAGTTTATGTGAAAAAAGCATCTTGACTATCCTCTTTTCAAAGAAATATTTTCTGTCTTCCAGAATTGATGAGCTAACTGCTAGTCTGAGTGCAGACACAGTAGAAGTGTCTTGTTCTCATCAAAAAAGTGCTCCATTCTTTCAAATTTTAGATGTTTTTAGAAACGTTTACACTGCTGTCAATATACCATTATATCATTATTGCAGTCAGAATATACAAGAGGTTCCTGCTGGTTTTGACCCATTGATGCACCAGATGTTCTGGTGGTGATGGTTACAATGGTAAATAACCACAGATTTCCACTTATAGTGGATACGGAAAGTATTCATACCCCCATTAATTCACTTTTTATTATTTTGCAGTCGATTGCTAAGTTAATTTCAACACACCCACTCACACACAAACACACACACAAACAGACGCACACAGATGCACTGTTAAATTAAATGAAAACTAGTTTGAACTGTGTGTTCAAACAAAATCAACCAAACTTCCAATCAAAGACTGTATTCTGTCCCGTTTGTGAATGCGGCCTTATTCTGGTCTACTTGTCACTGCTGGAGCTAGTCTCCTGATTAAATTTGTGAAATTAAAAGGGACACAATTATTATAGAATGTCAGATTTTTAGAAGGATGTCAGACCTCGATAAGCTTCCTTAATATGGTTCACTTTAAAACAGTCACTAGCTCCTCAGCGTGGCTGCATTTTATTGCCAAGCATGCTGGAGAAAAAAAGACAGTAAGGTTTTATAATGTCGCCCTTCTAGCAGGTTGTGTTTGCAAGAAAAAATGGGGGGGGGGGGGGGGGGGGGACTTTCAAAGAGCAGCTTTCAGCAGCAAAAAACACTCAGTAGATTATCAAGTGCTTCTGCACTCTTCAGCACCTGTAGAGACCTGACCTTTACTTGGGGTCGTCAGAAAATCAGCTTTCTATGCTATCTCAGTACTAAACAAGTCATCTGTCTGCATAAGAACACGTAACGCATACTGATAATAGAGTGAAATCTGTGGAAATTAAAAATAAACATGTTCACAAATAAAAATGGCAAACATCTCTAAATCTGAGGATGAAGACACATTTATTCGGTGACTAAACTTCAAACCTGATCAGTGGAGAAACTTAAAACAAGACATTGTGTGGGACAGAATCTTTGAATTTTTCCATTTTTAAACTCCAGAAGATGATTGAAGCACCATTTGTCATGCCCCTGCTCCAGCCAAGCCCCGTTTCCCCAGCAACCACTAGCAGCTCACCATCAACCTCATCCAAACCACCTGTCTCACATTAACCCCTCATCAGCTCCACCTGCAACCCTCCCTATAAAACACCTGGACCAACACCAAGCCAGCGCCAATCAGTTGCCGTCACACTCTGTTGTGTGCTCGGATTCTGCGGCCGCTCTTTTGGTGATGAAGGGGCAGTGGTCCCGGTCTAGGCCTGACCTGTTGGCGGTGATTCGGATGCAGCTGCACAGGTTGGTGGTATTGGGGTGTATGGTGAGCTTTGTGTGGGTACCTGCTCATGTAGGGGTGGTGGGCAACGAGGAGACGGACGCTGTTGCGAAGGATGCGCTGCAGCATCAGAACGTGGACCTGAGGGTGGGGTTGAGTCTACGCTGAGAGTCTACTGAGAGTCGCTTTGAGATTGGTTGAGTGGCTCTAAACCATCGACATGTGGCAGGCCTTCTGGGATGCGGGGATGGCCGGGCGGACGTATTACGGGCTGCGGAATCGTGTATGTGCCTGTGGGCCGGTCCTTGACTGTGGGAGGAGGGATTCTGTGGTTTTGACACGTCTGAGATTGGGACGTAGCTGCCTTAGGGGAGGTTTGTTTTTGGTGGGTCAACATCCGGATGGTTGTTGTGCTTGTGCGGAGCGGGAAATGGTTGCTCATGTCCTTCTGCACTGTCTTCTTTACATGGTTGGGCGGCGGGCCCTGTTGGGTTTCCTGGGGACTGTTGGTGTGACTGTGTTTGGCCTGCATAGTTTGTTGGGGTTGGAAGATCGAGGTGTAGAGGGGGCGCTTTGAAAGGTTGGCGTGTACAGGAGGTTGTGAATCTTGGGCTATTGGCCATCGCTGCTGGGGCAGCAATACGCCTTGAAGGCGTTTAGCCTGCCATGTCACCCATTGAGGAAGAAGCCAACGCCAGATTATTGAACGCCTAAAGCAAAGAAATTCTCCAGGCTTTCTGTATTGCCTGAACCACGTATCCTGACCTTGTTTGTCTCACAGACCTTCCACCTTGCCTCGCCCTAGTTTGGGTCTTGTTTTGATTACAAGCCTAACTGGTATAGGGACCTTGGATCTGCTTCTCGACCTCACCTCCTGTCTGCTCCCTGTCTGTGACTCTGCCTCTCAGTCTACCTGGTTTACCGAACGCCAACCCGTCTCTGGATTTGGCCTCTCGCCTTTCCCCTTAGAATTATTACGGATCTCTCTGGCTCTGACCCACGCCTCCTCTCCACCCTGCCTCAGCCCCATCAGTCTCTGGTAACTCTACGTCTCTGTAAATAAAGACTTAAAGCTCTTACTGTGTCTGGTTGTCCTCACAGGTCTCCAAGACCGATCATAACACCGTTGATCAAATGTTTAAGACACAAGCTTTTGAGAATTCAGATCAGTGCAGAAACATTACATTGTCCGCAAATTAATTTTATTTATATTTCATAAAGATAGAAAAAAAACACATTAAAGTTACATCTCAGCTTTGTGACTCTGCATCTCTTATGTCAGAGGTCTGAAGCTTCGGCGGAACCTTGTATCATCACACAATGTGTTTGTGTCCCAAATTAATACCCAACAGTGGTTCAGATCCTAAGGTCTCGTCTGCACTCATAAATATTAACCAAAACAGAAAAGTGCATTTGCATGTTTATTACTTTGAATCCATCCTGTCACTTCCAATATGGACAGATGTTTATCTATTTCAGATTCAAGTCTTGCTTTGTCACCCTAAATTATTCAGAAAACTCAGAGTGACACGCATCTAATTTTCATGTGAAGTCACAGCTATGTGAGTGAAAAGAAGCTGAATCAAAGATTTAACATTTCAACACTGAGGTTCAAATTCATAACTTGTAGCGAAACCTTTAATAATTTATCGTAGAATCATTTTGCACAGCTGTGGTCGTGAAAGATGATGAACTGATCTAGTTTTGTAAAACTTGTCTTACCTTTTCTTAGGAGTCTTTTGGTTTCTGAGCATTTGTTCCGATGCAAAAGCCAGATTTTTGCAGAATATTTAAATATAGATTATTTTCTTTAAGTGTGGCAAAAATGAATTAGGCAGCTAACACCTACACGATCTCAGTGCAACTAATCATATTGTTGTGTCTCAGTGACCCAAACAAGGATTTGTGGATTAGCATCGGCCAACAACAAGAGAAGCAGTTGCTTACCTTCCTTATTCGTCCAAATGAATTAAAACCAATAAAGGACAAAACTTAGAGGGGCTCATAGTGATGATTAACAACACGATAAAACATGTCTAATGCACTTCTCATTTTGCAACGTATTTGTGGAACAGTGAAGGATTAGGCACCCTATACTTAGTCAGCACTTTCAGCTATACTCTGATCCTATCAGATCAGTCTCAGCAGAACAGATGTCAGATCAGGTGGAGCTCACACATTTTAAATGCGTGAGAGTGATCAGGGTGAAATTCAAGCTGAACCTCAGTCAGTGCTGAAGAGAGGTGTACAATACAGACATCCTGTGGCTCAGTGGCTCTCCCTGTTGGCACGTGTGGTTTTTACAGCCTTCTGACAACAAAGTTTGTTTAAAATTGCCCACTTTGCTGGAATTAAAGGTGCAATAAGTAAGGCTTTTCTAATGTCTCAGTCATGTTGGAATGAAGGTTACACTGAAACAAATTCCCTTCTCTGCTGACTGGGGGGTTGCCAGTTTTTCTCTTTTCTTCAAAGGAACATAGTAATTGTTTACAATGTGTACAGGCATCATCATGTACAGTCATCATCTACGTGAACGTGACGTGGACTGACATTGCCATGCAATGGGCTGCCATCTTGGTTGAGTTCCCATTTTTCCCCAGTGGATTTATTAGTACTGAGGAAGATGATTACCCAACTAACCTTTATTCAGCTCTTTCTGCCGATTCCGCCTTTGCCGGGATCCACTGATAACCTCTTTCTTATTCATTTTCTCTTTCCCTTCCCTTTCCTAATAGTTTTTTTAATCACATTTTTTTTATCATTTTCATGATATTTAAAAAAAAAAAGTGTATACATTTTTTTATTTATTTTTATATTTGTTTGTTCTTGTGAAGTGCCTCGTGATTTTTTACGTTGAGAGGTGCTATGGAAAACATAATTTTTTCATCTTCTTCTAAAAAACACATATTATAAATAACAAAATCAGACATGTTATGGTTTGATGATTAAAATAGAAATATAATTAAACAAAATAGGTAAAAATAAATTAAAATATAAAATCAAAGGGAAGTTTGGGCCTCTCGACTAAGGCTAATGACCCCCGCGACCGGACTCCGGATAAGCAGATGAAAACGGATGGATGGATATAAATCCCAACAGGTGGGTTAGAAAAGTCAATAGTTATTCCAGGTGATCTGTTTTCAATATAAACCGGTTGTTGTAACCGTGGACTGCACAAAACAGACATAGTTTCCACCTCTGCATCTACTCCAGTTGGGTTTAGAGAACGAGGAACCCACCCAATATGGCGGCAATGCTGTTTTGCTCTCCAGCATCCAGTGGGGTGTCTACGTATTCTTGTCTGTTATGGCCACCAGCCTGGCCTCCTCAGGTGCAGGAGACAGGATCACCCAGCCCCGGTCATAGATATGTATATAAACACTAGATGGCGAAAGTGGGAGTCAAGGGCATAGCTAAACGGTGGCCATCTTACCTCAGACAACAGACCCCTCCGCTCTCAATGGTAGCAGCTGAAAGGTTGAGTGATCAGCTTAAACAAAAACACCCTTAACTCGATGAAATATTAACAGATTTACAAGCGGTTTCCCTGATCACAAACCTTATAGCACATGGGCTTGACAGAGCATACTTGCACATACTTTTCCTTTTGAAAGTGGCTTAATTGTGAACCATGCATCCCGCCTAGGCTATCTGCATGTTATTCAGGTTGAGACTACAATCGATATTTTATGTGGTTCTACAAAACCGATAACGACTTTACGACAGCCCAGTGGCTGTGTTTATGGATGTTTTTGTATTTATTAGCTGTCTAACTTGGCTTAGAGATGACGAGGCTATGGTGGGTGCACTGTTTAGCAAAACAAAGTTGACTATTTACCTCAGTGGGAGTCGCTCCTTTTATTTTAGATAAATTAACCCTTTGATGCATGAATTATGAAATCTTCAACCATGATTTTTTTAACAATTTTTTTCATTCGTCTTTAGGTGTGAATGAAACAAATTTCAACAACTATTTTTTTGTAAAATTTTATAATTTACAAATAATTTATTACATGTCCACCTCAGTGGACAGCGTGCAATCTGAGCATGAAATATGTTGGCTTGGCTTACTGAAGTCCAAATGGAGGGGCTCAAATGCAATAAAGTCTTCAACAGCTGTGCTTAGTAGCAAAAACAAATAAATAAGAATTTTGAGTACTTGTCCACTGTAGTGACCATTATGCATCAAAGGGTTAATGCTAAATTGCCTGTGATTTTTAAGCATCTTGGTTTGTTACACAAACTTATATTGGGATATATTCAAACAGGACATTTCTGGATTTATGTTTGCAGAAATACACCTTTATTAATTGTGAAGCTTGAGGGTCAACATGCCTGACTTTCGTGCAGCCTACGGATGCTCGAATCGCCGCTGTGACAAGTCGAGAAAAAATTTCATCTGTAACTGTTGCAAAGAAAACCTATACTTGTACATTATTCAGTCTGTTAATTGTTTTTATGTAAATAAAATAATTTGAAACTGTTGTTTCATTGCTGCTGCTACCTTCTTCTATACATTGTTTATCTGGTTTTATGAATGTTGAAAATCTCCTTCACAAGATCAATCCATTATCCATCTATCGTACTAGCCTAAACTATCTTTTGATTATTTCCTAACTTTTTCAGAAAGCATTTCCAAAGAGCTTATAATTAATAAATGAAAGTCAATAAGTAAGAAAACAAAAGTTAAGAAATAGTGAAAATACAAAATAATTTGCTGGATGAAATTGTATTGCTGGCGGGCCGGTTCTGGCTGGCAGATGTGATTTGGGTGTTGGTTGTCTTTTGTTGGGGTGAACATTTTATTTCTGTTTTCTGTTTATGTGGGCTTCATTTCACAAACCAGGAATATATATATATATATATATATATATATATATATATATATATATATATATATATATATATATATATATATATATAGATAGATAGATAGATAGATAGATAGATAGATATAATATAATAATAGGCTTTGTATACTTTGTTACTGTAGCTTACAATTAAATGTGTTATCTATGAAAGATTAAATGCTTTGTGGAGTGAAATAACAGAAATTTCTGGGTCAAAACCATCCTATTTCATAAACACATCTCTGGTGTTTATAGCAAATAAAACCTTTTGGAAATCGGTTGAAAATTGAGCAAGTTAGAGTTATTTAAATAGTACATGCACCATACACCCCAATGGCAAGAAAGGGGGCAGCTGTCTGAGGTAAGATGGCCGCCGCGTTCCTACGTCGCATCCCATTGGCAAACAGCGGGGACGAGACATCTAGTGTTTATATACATATCTATGGCCCCGGTGATCAGCCCGACACCACCCCTCCTCCTCCTCTCTTCCAGACTGCCGAGGCTCCTCCTCAGCTGAGCTGAATCCCTCTGATGAGCCACACCTGGGATAAAAAGGCTGTGCATTCAATGATCTGGGAGGCAGCACTGCAGGGCCTCAGGCCTCAGCGTTTGGGTTTCAACCCCTTCGTTTCATGAGTTTTAACAGAAATGTTGAAGCTCTTAGATGATTCAGAGGGATCTTTTGATATTGTTGTTTAAAAGGTAAACTTGGTTTGATGCTTTTTTAAAATTGATTTTGGTTTTAAAACGCCTTCTGTTCTGGTAAAACTTTTAATAAGTTTAACCCAGGTGATTTTAATGTTGGTAATTGTTCTTTTAATGTTAATCTTTTTGAGAGTTTTGTTTTTTGTTTGGCGTTATTTTAATAATGCTTGCCATCTGTTTGCACTTGTTTTTAGAACCTTTTATGACAATTAAACCCATCTTAAACCCATTATCATGTTTTCTTATGTTACCCCCCTCCTTCACTTTTTAACACCTCCTGTCAGGGACGTAACATTGTCTATGGTCCCGTCTCCATACTTCCTGGTTTCAAGTCCTAGTGCATTAGTAATTTGACCCTGACCAACAAAATCCAGAAGCGTTCTGGAAAGAATGTTAGCCAGTAAGAGGAGCGACCCAGAAGTTATTTCTTGTACCCCTAAGAAGCCATAGAAGCATTTTTTGTTTTACTCTAATATGGGATTAAGCGGGCTGGAGGATAACATTGATCTAACAACGCTAACGGTGAATTAGAAAAAAATATAGACAGCTGTAAACATATCTGAAGCTATTTTTTTTAATTACCAACAATGTTGCAGTGAAATGTATTTATCAACTAATCAACTTGATGTGTATGACTCATCTTCACTTCTGGTGCTGATCCATAACTGGAAACAGCAGCTCAGAGCAGACTTGTTTGTTTTGAAATACGGCCTGCAGTACCATCACTTGACCACAGGAGGTCGTTCCTACTTCATGCACATTTAAATGCTCTTTATTTCAGTTTTAACAATTGTACAGTGTCTCAGTCATCTGAAAATCAGTTGACATGCTACAAAGAAGCTGATGTTTAGAAAAAACAATAAACCATAAAAAATATGTTTTTAAAGTTCATCCCATCAACAGTTTTTGGCTCATTAAGAAAATACGAAAATAAATTCTTACTACAGTAATTATCCTTTCAGTATATAAAAGTAAATATTCTTTAATTGAGAATAAAATAATAAACTGGTAAAAACAGTTTCTGTGTACTGAAGGCATGCAGTTTCTGGTTTTTGCCGTGGCTTTTTCTTTTCTTTGTCCTCTCTCCTAAAGGCCACACATCACTCATGGCTATTTTAAGTTATAGTGTTCTGCTAACAGAGGAGTACTCAGGCTGGTGAGGAGCAGGGAGTCACTACAGTACAGTAGCATCTGCCACTGCTGTCAGGCCAGTATCAGCAGCCAGTGGGTCTGCTCCAGCGTCTGCAGCGACAGCCACTCCGGGGGCTGGTGTGTCAACAGGAACAATATCAACAGGAGGCACATCCACAGCAGCACCATCCGCCGGTGCGACTTCCACGGGGATGTCGACCACAGCGGGCTCCAGAGATGCTCCGGGTTCTGCTGCAGGGTCCGCTGTGGGTTCTGCTGGTGCTGCTTCCACCACAGCTGGCTCGGCCTCGGCTGTCTCCTCTTCTTCAGCTTCTTCTGCCTCATCAGAGTTTAGGGGAGCGGTAGGAGCAGCGGGGGCTGCAGCTTTGGGACCGACATTCCCATCCTGTCATAAAAGTGGAAGGAATTTTAAATTGGCTTGTTAAATTTAGACCAAACACTGCAGAAATAAGCAGGCTTGAGCATATAACAAGCAGATGTAGCTGGAGGGTGATGTTTTCTTAAAAAGGTTGTTTCAAAATAGATTAAATCAAAATAAATTGCAGTGAGTCAGAAAAGTGACTGGAAGTGGCAAAGGCTAGAAGATCAGACAATGCATGGAAAACAGAGACAGGAAACGATGAACTGTGGGCATGCTGATTGTTAGTTTTGCACTTCAGCTGTATTCTCCTAAAACCCTGTGTCCAATATTTTATTCTCTTTAACCTAGACCTTCTTTATTATTTAGAAACATCTGATACTGAATTTAAGTTAAAAATATATTTATATATAAATATTGTTTCATTTTATATCACACCAAAAACATGCTGGTCTCAGGAGGGTATAGAAACTTGTGTAACCTTAGTAATAAACATTCATTATATCATTAAAGCTGCAAACACATCTATGCACTAGCAAATATAGATCAACAAACATTTATTTTTGTTGTTTTTGTAAATGAATAAGTACACACGGCTGCTGCTTACCTCTGCTTCCTCATCTGAGGTGTCTTCTGCACGAACTGGGGCTGCCTGAAGATTTACCTGCAACAACAACTCTCTTTAAACCTAAGTAGCATAAAGAGTTTGGGGATTTTAGATGTTGTTTGGATCTACACTTACCACTGCTGCAGCTGCTGGATCAGCCTGAACAGATCAGTTATTTATAAATATGGTCAATCACACACTGTGTGTTACATTCCAGGTTTAGTGTTGTGTGTGTCGGTGACACTCTGAAAGAGTAAACTTACAGGGGCATCAGCAGGAGCAGGAAGGAACGGGTTTCCGCCGACTCCCTGGTAAAACAGGGAGGATTATCCAAAATGATGAGCAGACCACTTAAGTTTAATTGATTCATCCCACTAACCTGCTGTTGGAACAGTCTGTACAACTCCATCAACCTCAGGGCCTCGTTAGCATGCGCTGCGACCTGCTAAAAAATACACCAGACATCCCAGACATGAGCTGCTATGAAAGCCAATTATCTCTCTCTCCCAGACGCCCGCCATGCTGTTTAACTGATGACATGACGAAAAAGAAACAAAGACAGCGTGTGGCAGAACCATAAAAAAAAAGAAATACTTACCTCACCACTTTCACTGTCTGGTACCTAAAGATAAAAAAAAAACATCTCTATATAAATCACTCAGCATTGCTTACCGTACCACAATGATTATGCCTCACCCAGCTTATTGTGAAGAAATTTGGGGGACAAACATATTCAATCACAGCCAATATCTTTAGTGTTCACAATCTTTTTTTATGCTTCTCATTTTTCACTTGCACGTTTGCACATGAGCAAATTCCTTTTATATTCAATGTAATTTAACGTACAGCGCTTTGGTGTTACCTTTGTGCCCGTAAAGCGCCATATAAATAAAGATTGTGTTGAGATGTGATGAAGCAAATTCCTAGGAATGGGAAAGTCACTTTCTTGGCAATAAAACACGACTCTGAATCTTATATTCATTTTACATTAAAAAAAGGCCTTTGTGAATGGTGAATTTAAAAATATATGAAGATCCATCAAATCCTCTTTTTGTCAAGTGCAAGGTGGTAAACATCAATGATAGTGTGGATGATAATATTCTTCTGGTTTTCTGTTACCAGCAAGCATTTGAGAAATTTTTGAAAAACGAAAAAAGTCACTATAATCTGAAATTAACGGACATATTTAATAAACCCAGATTCAGAACTGAAGTAAGAGAATGGAACGTCTCGGTGAAAGGGAGTAATATGCAGAAGGTAATAAAAAAAGTAAAAAGCATTCAGGAAACAAATCTAAACTAGAACATTCAACATGTAAGTTACAGTTGAAAATACATTTATAGAGTTTTATTTTGAAGAAATAATTATAAGAACATCATTCATTTGTAAAAATTTGTAATAGGTTGATATAATTGTGCAACTCTGAGGACAACTTAATTTTATTTGTAGAGACTGAAATTAAAGAGCATACGTGTTTGTTAAAGTCATAAAGGATCGCTCTTCTTTCTGCTCCTTTTCATTCAATTGAGGAATGAGATAAATAAATAAAAATTTAAATAAAGAGAACAAACAATCAGTTTGGAAAAACAAGAGACTTGAAAGGTTTAATAAAAGGGTCTTTAGCACACGTTGAGGTAGACAAAAGCAGCTTATGACTCACAGGAGCAGCAAAAGCTGGGACCAGCAGGCACATCAGGAGCCCAAAACGCTTCATTATGACTCTTTTCTTCTGAAAACAACAAAGAAAATGAGCTTTGATTCATTTACTTGATGTTGACTATTTGTTTTCAAGATTATGATGCAGCAGAACTTAGCCAGTGACCAAATATTGCCCACATGTAACAGAAGACTCACCGTTTGTTCCTATCCAAGAGGAAGCGTCGGCACGTTTCTCCTCAGAGATGGAGTCAAGTCTACCTCCTGTCCCACACGGATGCCCTTTATATCCTGTAATAGCCAATCAGATCCAGGAAAATGTGCACAGCTCTGTGTTTAAGCAGAAAGCTCCTAACAAGTCAAAACTAAGGGGAAAAACAGGTATGTGGGGATGAGGCCCTTGTTATGGTTAATTACGTGCTGTGCCAGCATGCTTCTCATCTTTATTGCCTTAAAAGCAACAAGAAGAAAAGAAAAACGAGCCGTCGTGTAGATAATGGCCCCAACATGGTGTGGGTTACAGTTATTAAAAAGAGATACCACATAAATTTACATGAGAGCCTGCTGAGATAACAAAATCCGGTTTAAACACAAAGACAGGAGTGCAGATGGAGGCAACTTTAATTAAATCCAGTTGTTTCCTCTACAAAATGCTACTTAAATGTGCATTTTTGATCATGTTGCAGTGGCAGAAAATATTATGTACCCATAAGTGTGGTTTTCTGCACAAGAATTCAGCCTAAATAACATTTTATGCACTTTAACGTCACTTTTGAATTGTACACCTTTTCTTGAGAAAATAAAACAGTTCAAACTGTTATTTGCACCTTTGTTAAAATATTTTTGTTCCATACACGTTACTATTGTTGTGTTCGCTCTAGCTGGTGCGGTCAAACAAAACGGTGTCTTAGGTTTGTTTATTCTGATAGTAAAAGGCTGTAACTTGCTTCCCAGACAATCTTGAGCCAAATCAGCTGGGATAATGTTTCCACTCAGAGATAATAATCAGTTCATTAATTCTTCAGAGCCACGCTGTGATGCAACGATGAGATTAGTTTTTTTTTCTTTTTTAAGGTTAATGAGGTTGAAGGGTGATTATTGTTGGGTCCAACAGGAATACTCGTCTCTAATTAAACTGTCATTTAGCAGAATTAAAACAGTTTCTAATGAATATATCTGGTTTGTTGACCCATGCTTTTTAATAGCAGGACTGATGGGATTATTGGCTGAATGAGGATTTGTTTTTGTTGGAGTGGGAGGCCAGCTGAATGCTCTGCTGAGAAATGATTTCTGCTACGTAAAGAAAAATGTTTTTATTCAGAGCAGTAGACAGGTAAATGGCCTGTATTTGATATAGGGCCTACTAGAGTCCTGGAACCCCCCAAGGTGCTTTACATCACAATCAGTCATTCACCCATTCACACACACATTCACACACTGGTGGGAATGAGCTACGATGTGGCCATGGCTGCCCTGGGGCGCACTGACAGAGGCGAGGCTGCTGAGCGCTGGCGCCGCCGGTCCCTCCAGCCACCACCAGCAGGCAAGGGGGTTAAGTGTCTTGCCCAAGGACACAACGACAGCAACAAATTGAGCGGAGCTCGAACCTGCAACCTTCCGATTACGGGGCAGGCATTTAACTCCTGTGCCACCATCACCCCACACTTCTAATGGGCCATTCCCATCTATACCGGGTCGGCCCCAGCCTGGCCCGGTTGATTCCACACATCCTTGTCTTAAGCCCATGTGGGCTGATTCTACCCACCAATCAGAGGCTTGCTCTAATGGAAGGTGTGAATTTGCTGTCAGCAGTGGGTGTGTTGGCCCTGGTCGGCCTGAAGCAGACCCCCTCGAGAAGAGGGCTGAGAATGAGCCTTGGTTGGCCCGGAAAAATTCCAGGCCACCCAGATATGTAAAGCCCCATTCCCACCTGTACCGGGTCGGCCCGGGCCGGGTAGCATAGGTTGTTTACATATCTGGGTGGCCTGGAATTTTCCCGGGCCAACCAAGGCTCATTCTCGGCCCTCTTCCCGAGGGGTACTGCTTCAGGCCGACCAGGGCCAACACACCCACTGCTGACAGCAAATTCACACCTTCCATTAGAGCAAGCCTCTGATTGGTGGGTAGAATCAGCCCACATGGGCTTAAGGCAAGGATGTGTGGAATCAACCGGGCCAGGCTGGGGCCGACTGGGGCTACCCGGCCCGGGCCGACCCGGTACAGGTGGGAATGGGGCTTAAACAACCTACGCTACCCGGCCCGGGCCGACCCGGTACAGATGGGAATGGCCCATAAGTAAGAACCACCCAAACTGACTAAATTCAGTGAGAGGTGGTCAGTCAATGACAGGAAAATAACAATGTCTGAGGTTTCTAATACGTAAATAATGCAGAAAGGAAATTGTAATTAAATTAATAATGATCATTCTAAAAATGCCTTCCAAAACCTCACATCCTTTACGTTAAAGCTTCATCCCTGGAGAAGAACAGGTCTCCAACAAGTCACCAATCATGCTGGATTTCGTGCCTTTTTAGGTGGAAATTATGCACACATGAGGATGATGTTTATGCAACATCTCAGTGTCCAAACGTGTCTCTACTCCTCATGTCTCTGTGCTGTCATCTTCAAAGGTGTTGTTCACTTGTTTAATCAATACATTTTCTGTGGTCTCTATAGGAATGAATGCCTTATAAGTCATAATCGGGGGTAACAAAAAGCCCAGAGGTGCCTGATTCAGCACAGTGGAATCATCTGGAGGAGAGCGGCGCAACACGACAAGATTTGGAGTCTTATTTCCTGGTATTTGGACCTCTGATTGGCTAACAGAAACACAACTCTACCACTGATTCCATTCGCTCTTCAACATTGATGTTTTATCTCCACAAATAACACAAGCCTGGAGGAGCTTCTGCCGTGTGGTGGAGTTGCTAATGTTAACGGTTAACTTCGAGTAGTCAGAACGTTCTCTGCTGTTTCCTGGTTGCTAAACCAACTACCGCCTTCCCTGTCGCCAGCCAAGAGGGTGAGTCCATGAATACTAAGTGACAGTGTGATGAATTTTCTACCCTTATCAGAAACTCATGCAGGAGATAGGAGTAGGAAACTATTTTCATGCTCAGCCTGCATGAAAAGTGACCAATTATAATCAGAATTAATCTTCTTCTTGAAGTATTAGCTAGGACAAACATGAAATAATCAGTACAAGACCCATTTTCACAATCAGTGTTTCTCAACCGTGGTCCTCAGGACCCCCCCTGTCCTGTTTTACCATGATGCCCTTTCAAACACCGGTGTTTCCCTGCTGCCACACACCTGACATAAATGAGTGTGTGATTAACAGGCGTCTGCAGCACTTGATATCCTCCTGATGACAAATCAGGTGTGCTGAAACAGAGCGTGCAGGACAATGTGTCCTGAGGCCCAAGGCTGCGAGACTCTGTATTAAATAGATAAAAAAATATGTATAATGAAATATTCAACTAAGGTAATAATTCTGCTACTGTAGAAATACAGTTCCATTTACTTATATAGCTGCAATATTAACACAAGTGGCTGCAAAGTCCTAAAGTTAACATCCATGAAGGTCATCGGGAATGCCCTCTTTGTGTCGCTCCCATTCTCTGCTTTTTCAACATTATGAGCCAACATATCACCATAACAGCATTTTTCATTCATTCACAGCTTCTGTTTTCATCTTTCAACCCTTTCAGTTTTGGGGGGGTATTTAAGAAACTGCACCATGAAGCAGTTATCCCCACCTACTGTGGGCCATCTCTTCAGACAATCTCTAGAAATCAGATAAAATGTAAGAAAATGCTGCTAATTGGACTTTTTCACCTTATTTGCTGCATATAAAATAAAACAATTGTAACACATTTATGAAAAGTACCAATCTGCTCTAATTTGATAAGAATATTACTAACGTCTGTCTCGTTAAGCCTTCGGGGTTGCAAGCCTTTGCAACTTATTTTTGTGTGTGTGAGCAGCAGAAGTTAAAGCGTTTGGAAACCGCTGACATAAAGTAGAAGAATCTCAGATGATGATAGAAGTTTAACTTGTGAAGATGTGACGGTGACAGCATGAGAGGAGGCCGCCTAGCGTACCTTTGATGTGAAAATGGTTGAATTCCTGTTGCAACAGGCTGTTCATCCCCGGGGGGGCAGGAATCGTTCTCGGTGGTGTTTATAGTTGTACGATGATTACATTTCACTTTGGGGAAATTTGCCAAACCACTGGAGCAATTCAGATGATGTCCTGCAGCAAAACAAGACAGTTGATGTATTGAGGATGTGCTGCAAATGCAGGATCCTCGATTTAGGCTTTTACATTTGTATGAAAAATAGATTTTTTTGTTATACCTTTTAATTTATTTTCATTTATGCATTTCACCTCTTTTTATGTTTATTATGTTTATGTTTATTTATTTGGCAGACGCGTTTATCCAAAGCGACGTACAATTTCTTTTTCTCCATTCTGCAGTTTCTCACACAGATCAGTAAGCCTCTATTGTTCTCAGTTTCCTTTTTGTTCTTCAAATGTGAATAAAGAAGGTTTGATTCTTCTCACATAACTAATAAAACTTATCTAATAAAATCCCTGCAGGAGGAAAGATGAATGATTTATGTAGCAGTGTGGTGCTTTTACTTTGTTGAACTTGGAAAAGGGTTTTTCTGAACTGCACTTTTTAGAGATTTTCCTTCTCTTGTGTTAGTAATTCTGGCGAAGAATGCACATTCATTACATAAACTATAGAAGATGTTAAGATGAATCATTTTGTGCGTGTTTACTGGTTTAAATGTAATAAAACAAACACTGAAGTTGTGCATTTTCCAGAAAGCTTCAAATAAACAAAGATCACTGCAAAGTTCTGCTTTGAAATCTTTATTTTTCAAAATAAACACAGGAAGGGGAAATGCAGCATGCAGGGGTCTTATCAAAGGTTACATTTCTACGCATTGTTGTTAATGAAAGAGCAAAAGGAATCAAACTGATTTTTTACTCATTCTTCTCAGAGCAGTCAGTCATAATGTAGTTTGCTCTTATTCTAAAAAACTATTTCTTTCAGTAGTTTGATTTATTTTTGTTAGGCTGAACACTCAGAAAAAGACTCGGTGGTGATTGTTGAAGAGGGGAAATGGTCGCCCTTTTAGGCTTTTGCAGGTGCCTGCAATGACAGAAAACACCAATCAGATTTAAATATCACTACACTGCAAAAAATTACTTTCAAGAAAGTAAAAAAGCCTCTTTTTCTTTATTTTCTCTCATTTTTAGTCTAAAAATATGTTCTTACCTGCAAAAACAGCACTACTTGAAATGGTTAAATAATTCTTAAATGTAAACACATTTTCTTGTTTTAACTAAAACAAAATACCACGGGGGAAAGGAAAAGTTTAGCTACAGTTCTTCAAACTAGCAATTAAATAAAACTTTTCATTATTTTTTTTGCCCAAAACAAGAAATTTTAACTTATTTTACCTAATTTCTACTGTTTTATTTTGTTTATAGAATTAAATCAGATAAAGTGCTCAAAAAACAAGGATTTCTGACATTATTGAAAATCATTTTTTGCAGTGTAATTGCGTAACATTTTGCTCAAAACACATTTATTTGAAGTGTATGCTTATTTTCAAAGTGATGCACTGACTACCTGGCTGGTTTGTGTGGGCTGGTCCTGCAGCAGAGGTTGCAAAGGATTCTGGGAAGGATGAGCATTGGCATCGACAGACGGCATCTGAAAAACAAGAATTAATTAATGAGGAGAAGCCTGCAAAGATTTGATTATTACTTTGATTATTTAAAGGTTTCTGATCTCACGTTCATGGGCTGCTGGGGATTGCTCAGGGGTGGAAATCCAAACTGAGGAATCTGTAAAGTACAAATAAAGCAGATGAGTGAAATATATGAAATTGTGAACTGGCAGCAGAGGTTCAGAGTTAAAAGAATAAACTAAATGTCTTACATCTTGCCCCATAGGGCTATTTGAAAAAGGGGGCATGTGTGGCAGAATCTGCAACAAAAACAACACTCGTTTAGGTCTTGACCCATTATATCTTTATTTTAGCCAAAATGCAAAAGCTTCTGAGTGCTTTACCTTTTGCTGGGTGAAGTCGTAGGGGTAGAACTGCAAATACAAAAACATAAATCAGTAAAAATGACAAATACTACAACAAACATCTGATTAAAGTAACGGAATGAGACGTACAACTTCCACGCTCTGCCTGCCTGGTGGCTGAGGAATTGAGTACTTGATGAATCCATAAGAAGGGAAGGTCTGATGAAAAGAAAGTAACAGAAATATTTATATTTTATAAAGTAGTGATTCTAATCATAAGTTGTTATAAAGTAAAGAGGCAGTAAAACAGATACTTGCCTGCGCTTGGTTTGTTCCAGTTGCACCACCAACGATTCTGTGTGGATAAATCTTAGACAAAGATAAAAATGAGGCACATTTTATTAACGCTATACTTCTGTGAGATGAAAACGTGTGGTGCTTTAAGAATGAGGCTTACAAATTCCACACTATAAGCTCCTGGAAGAGCAGGCTGTGGGAAACCAGCTGTGAAGGGTGTTTTCACCTGGAGGAGGGTTTAATGTTGCAGTGTATCAAAATAAAAATAAAAAAATACAAGAAATCAGATGCAAAACTATACTTTGTGTGCATAATTACCTGTGTGGGAGGTTCCTGCTGCCTGAAGCCTGTGTAATGTGGCATGTACTGATACTAAAAGCAGAAACAGAAATGCTTGAATCGATGAAAACGAGGAAAACGACGTTACCTGCTCTATAAAGTAACACCACTTACAGGTAGAGCGCAGGCTGTACCAGCCAGACACAAGCACAGGATGGCCAGCTTCATTCTGTGGTCCTGGGAGACAAAACTCGGTGTTACAAATTCAGGAAAATAAAAACTGGATGGTGGTTTCCTGTTGGACAAATGAGCATCAACTCACCCTCTGAGATCGAAACAAACACCAGAGAGAGGAGATAAAACACTCAAGTCGACGGCGAGATCGTTTCTGATCAAGCAGTGAGACACTTTGACTTTTATAGGGCTGCTCGTCCACCAAACAGATAATTACGGTCAAACGGAGTGAAGTCACCCAACGAGGGTGGGCAGGGCGAGCATCTAGTCCACAGATTTACTAAATGACCAGTGGTCACATCCACCTCCTGACTAATAGCAGAGTGAGTCTGATTACACAGTCTGGAGCACAGCATCTTCAGTCTGCAGTCTTAAGACGGGTCTCCAAATATCAGAGACGTACCTCAGTTTAATGCTTTAAGTGAGGGGCCGATGTGGCTCAGAAGGCAGAGGGAGGCGTTTGCAAATGGCCTCATAATGTAAACTCAGTGGAGTTAAAAAATAAGACAACTGATCAATTTAATGCAATCGTTTGATTTATTCTGAAGCTTAGAGAGCTGATGAGGAAATCACACGCAGCCATGTAAACACACAATCGTTTCTTATAGCATGACATCACATTTATTACAAGCATGAAAACGTCGTTTTATCTGTTTTTGTTTAAAAAAATTAGCACCGTCTGCCGGCTGAATTTCCTCAAATATGCACAGCACCATTTTTCTTTTTTCCTTTTTTGTACAGTTTGCAAAACAGCAGAGCTGGCTGGTGGTCTCCGTCAGAGATGGCTGCAGCTCTCAGCGTCACCGGTCACCTTAGAGGAAAACAAAGTCAGTCAGCTGAGAAAATTACATATAATCATCAGGTTTTTCCTTGTGTGTGTGTGTGTGTGTGTGTGTGTGTGTGTGTGTGTGTGTGTGTGTGTGTGTGTGTGTGTGTGTGTGTGTGTGTGTGTGTCAGTGTAGCACCTGTTTGTGCACACACGAGCGTTGCTGACTCAGACCATATTTAGTCGTCTTCATCATCATCATCACCCCTGGGTTTGGCAGCCTGAAATGACAGAGGCTTTCAGTGAGCCAATCAGGATAAAGAACAGCTTTCAAAATGTTTCTGATGACTTCATGTTTCCTAAAAGCTGAGTAGATTTTTTTTTCTCTCTTGAGTAGTTTTTATACATTTTTATAAACTTGTTTCACGCTTCATTCAAGTAGACTTGGACTTCTTTGGTTTCTTGAAGATGTTTCACGTCTCAACCAAGAAGCCTCAGACAGAAATTGGTCCATCCAAAAGACAAACCAAACCTTTACACGGTGGGGAACTAAACAACAACTACACAAGTGCATGGCGCAACACAGGAGAGCCACCTCTTCAGGTCAACGGACATATTTTTGAAGATGACAAAGTGCACATTGTGGACTAGATGGTTTGAGGGAGCAGTCTATGTTAAACGGGAAAAGCCTACATTAAACAAAGGAAGAGGCCTGAGGTTTTATCTTTCCAGTGCCTACGATGCAGCATTAAATCTAATTCCCCAATAGTTTCAGTCTCAAGGCTGATTCATGCTTCTCCGTCAGCTCTGCAAGGGACAGACACGCACGGGTTGACGGAAGCGTTTTGCTCTCATACTTCTCCGTCTCCTGGAGAGCGTTGCAAAGCAATTCCCCGGCAGGACAACAGAGGGCGTAGCGCTGTTCTGTGGTATCCTGTCATGCATCCGGTCCCACATAGTGTGTTTATATTGTGTTTTTTGTATATAAGAGACTTAACACTGATAAATTTGTCTCTCGTTCTCCTCCATCTCTTCATGCGCTCGCCACCTCTAAACCCACGTTTCCTGTCATTTCCGTCCACAAATAAAAACGCTTGCTGCGCATCTTTTCACTCCTCCAGTCACGGGGGAATTAAACGTTCATATTTTAGAGTTTTTTCACGAGGTATTCTTCAAGCTTCTCCGCGTCTGCTGCTAGTTATCCTCGGCTCTCTTTATGTTTTTGAGGGCGCAATGGCGGCGGTGTAGACAACAGCGGCGCTCTGACCAATCACAAGCTTGCGTTCTCCATCTCGACAGACAGATGTTTAAAAAAGTGGGCTCGACTCCGTCCGTACTTGCGTGCCTGCCGGGGCGCTACGCAAGGACAGATAATGGCGTTGCGTGTCTCCGCACTGACGCAGATGGAGAAGCATGACTCAGGCTTAAGTCACACCCTCCTGCAACTAATCAAAACAACCATTCAAACACAATAAGCCTTAACGACATGAACAACCCCACTGTGGGTAAGGAGGAGGGGTATTCATAGGTAGTTTCAGTTTGTTAAGAAGCTACAGTTGATCAACTTGACTCTCCCGTATTCCAGTCAGAATTGACAAAGCTCCTCGGATGAGAAATGAAACGTCTTCAAGAAACCAAAGAAGTCCAGTTGTCTTCATTTGAACCCTTTTGGATTACCATGACCTGGATGACTGAGAACCTTCAGCAGCATCAAGTAGATTTATCAGAACAAATCAGGCATCTGGATAACATGTCACTGTTTTCCATTTAACAAAGTTCTTTTGGAAATGAAAGGTTATTCTTACAGGGATCGCAGCAACAAGGAATGGGTTAATGGGAGCAGCAGGAGCAGCAGGAGCAATGGGGACCACGGGAGCAGCAGGAGCAACGGGGACCCCGGGAGCAGATGGGGCAGGATCTGGCTGGTTAAACCCAAAAGGGTAGAACTAGAGGCAGAAAATGGAAAAATCTATTCAGTAAAGTTAAACAACAATTTTAAAATTAAATGATTAAACTTTAAAAGCACTTACCACCTCCTCGTCTTTGCCATTCGGCTGAGGGATCTCCTGCTTGATGAATCCACGGACCTTTTTAATGACAATGCATTAACATTTGAGCACATAAACTAATCATGCATCTCTAAAATAGTATTTTCCTAATCATTACACTCCTTGTCTTTTTATTGGAAGGTAGAAAATGTGTCACTCACAGGTCCTACTCCGATTGGCTGTTTCTGACTGTCCACTGGGAGCAACTAGAAATAAAAACAGCTCCAGTTATCATACAAAAGTGTAAATACTCTATAAATATGTCTGGAAATGATTAAAAAAACTTTTACCACTTCCAGTTTCCCAGCTGGGACTCCAGCAGGGATCACATGAGCTGCCTGTCAAGAACAGATTCATAATAATTTACACTCATGAGAGACTGGAGGAGTGAACAATCCACTCAGCTGCATGACCATTAGTGGACATTGGCCAAAGGCAGGCTATGGTGCCGAGTTAAATTATCGATGCTTAATAATAGATCTTTTGTTTTTCAGCTCGTTCAACCTTTTATTTCCTCATACCTCAGCTGGAGCATGATGGATGTCAAACTCCTTGTACATCTGTTGCTGTTAGACAAACAAAAAAAATCCAGATTCTGTGAAATGCAGCTGATGTAAAAAGCTATAATAATTACAAACATAAAACATTGGTTGCATTTGATTAAAAACAATGAAAAAAAAATATTTTTTTGAAAATAGATAAAATCAAAATTCCTGAAAGCCCCTTCTATAAAAGTTACAACTATATATTAAACGTGTGTGGGTGGTGCAGAAAAAGCAAACTTGAGAAACGACAAAAATCATTTCCTTACAGGAGCACAGAAAGCCACCCCGAAGATGCAAGCTGCAAGCAGGATCAATTTCATTTTGAAATCAGCTGTAAAACAAAGTATATTCTGGTTATTAACTTCAATGCAAAGCTTTAAAACCACAAAGATATTTCATGAAGACATAGACTTAGACGTGATGCAAGCTGTTTTCATACCTTTCTTTTCTCTGGACGCACCTGGGTACTAAGGTATCCCCGAGGAGGGCTGTGATCTGTCAGACAAGATCTGCTCCTATTTATTTGCCGACAAAACAAAGAACGCGCAACCCTTTGACAGTTATTGGTGATAAGCCAATTTTTTTATATTTTACGAACATAAATTTGGCAGCTCAGTCTTTTCTAGGCAAAACCCCTCAGTATATTTTTGGCTTGGGCTCATCTTTTTTGACATATGATCCTCCTGCAGATGGATTTTATAAGGTGCATCAGGGCATAAACTCAGACTACAGTTTATGGAAAGAGGAGGCTGACTTTTTTCAGAATATACGTGACATACAGTTGTACAGACCTTTAGCATCAACTGTATAAAAAGACAGTCGGCTAAAATGTTTGATGATTGGATACAAAAATCCAGTTTCAAATCTGATGACATTTATTTAATGAGCCAAAGTTTGTTGTAGATTAATTGGTAATTAGAATACGAAAGTTCTTTAAGCCACTGTTATTTTTTTCTTGCAAATGACTCTGTTTGAACTCTGAGCCCGACTTGCAATTGCTTTGCAACACTCCCCAAGAGACGAAGAAGTCCGAGAGCAAAACGTCATCATCCGTGCGTGTCTCTCCCACATGGAGCAGACGGAGAGATATAAATTAAGCTTTAGACTTTTAAAGATTTCTAAAACATAATACATATTTCTCCACAGGATCTCCACAGGGCTGTGTACTTTCTCCTCTGCTCTTCTCCCTGTACACAAACCGCTGCACATCGAGCCATGACTCTGTTAAACTGATCAAGTTTGCGGACGACACCACGCTCATCGGGCTCATCTCTGATGGTGATGAGTCCGCCTACAGGAGGGAGGTGGATCGGCTGGTGTACTGGTGCAGCAGCAACAACCTGGAGCTCAACACTCAGAAGACAGTGGAGATGATTGTGGACTTCAGGAAAGTCACAGCCCCATCTCTCCCCCTCGTCCTGACGGACACCCCCGTTACCACTGTGGACTCCTTCCGCTTCCTCGGAACCACCATCACACATGACCTTAGGTGGGAGCCATCCATCAGCTCCCTGATCAAAAAGGCCCAGCAGAGGATGTACTTTCTGCGGCAGTTGAAAAAGGCCAAGCTGCCGGCCCAGATGATGGTGCAGTTTTACACGGCCATCATTGAGTCCATCCTCACCTCCTCCATCGCTGTGTGGTACGCTGGAGCCACGGTGAGGGATGAACATAGACTGCAGCGCATTGTGCGCTCTGCTGAGAAGGTGATTGGCTGCAGCCTTCCATCTCTCCAGGACCTGTACGTCTCCAGAACTCGGGGGCGTGCAGGTCGGATAGCAGCTGACCCTTCTCACCCGGGACACAGACTTTTCGAGCCGCTTCCCTCAGGCAGGAGGTTACGGTCCATCTGGACCAGAACCTCCCGCCATAAGAACAGCTTCTTTCCATCTGCCGTTGGACTTGTGAACAGCTTATAAACATGCAACCATGCTGGTCTTCTGTACTCGACACAACATCACGTTATCGGCCATGTTACCATTACCTGCCATTTTTATAGCTGAAAGTTTTATTCTATTTTTATTCTTATTGTGTGTTCATGTTATATGTAGCACATTAGAACCAAAGCAAGTTCCTAGTTTGTGAATTGTTTGTTCACCGACAATGGCAATAAACCTTTTTCTGATTCAGATTCTGATATTTCCAGAAAAGTGGAAAACTCTGAATTGTTTCCTTAAAGATGGAAGCTGTTTTTACCTTTTCTAAGTCCAGTGCATTTTTTCATTTATTTAAAATTTTACACGTGTTTCCGTAACAGGGTAACTATAATGGTTCACTAGCGGCTTCTGGAGATTACCTTCATCAGCAAAAAAACAGCAGCTTTCAACAATAAAAGCTCTGAAGTCTTTGTTAGATTTCTGGCAAGCTGTCAGGCAAAAAGAGTACTTCTGTACCTGTCTAGGAACCACAGAGCAACACAAAAAGGGACGGAGATTTCCCTTAGGAGTAGGTGCAAATGGAAATAACAGAGTACAAACGCAAATATTCCAAACAAATGCTATTGTTGAACTGTGACGGCTTGGTGTGGATTATCTCTTTGTAGGTTATGGAGGGTGCCATTACTATTGTAGGTGTGTATCATGTTTACAGTAAGAAACTCCTGGAACTTTAAGAAGGATTAGTGGTAGGATGGTAGAAAAGCAGCAAAATGAACCAAAACAGGCACACATGGTTATAGTTTTATTTTTCATTCATCAAAAAGCAAAAATGACAAAAATAATGAAATATATAGTAAAGAAACTCCACTAGTGCTTGGTTAGTCCATGTTTTATGATAAAGATGAGTTTAGTTTCCCCATGACTACAACTGCTGCTGCAGTTTCAAACGTGGTTCCCCCGTGCTGGCTTTAGTTTGGGCCAACCAGGTGCTGGGATTGTGGCTGCCTCCGGCGCTGCTCGCTCCAGGCCTGCTGGGAAGCTGTTAGCATTCGGCTGTGCTCCAGAGCAAGGCAGTCCCTGTGACGGTGGGACTCCAGCTGTTTGTCCGGCAGCCTGCTGATCTGGGTTTTTGAGTCCAGCTGCTTGGCTCTCAGGCTGAAGAGCTGCTGCACCTGCAGGCAGGTTTGTGAGCACAGAGGGCACGTACACACCCAGCTGGCTCATTTTAGCTGCAGCCTGAAAGAAAAAAAGGACAGGTGTTGTTAGACCTGGGAGAAGAAACCATTTTTTTATCAACAGGATCATTGGGTTCACTGAAGCAGGGTGTTTGAACACGCTGAGCAGCAGATAAAAATCTTGGCTCTTACCTGAAGTTCCTCCGAGCTAAGACCGCCGAGTGAAGGGCTCTAAAGATAAATGACAGCACATGAAATATTCTCAGAAAAAAAGGTTGTGTAACAATGAAAAGCTGTGTTCAAATCTAAGTTCACAAAGAGCATTATTGGATATTCACCATGGGTTGTTGCAGCATGTATACAACCTGGGGATTCTGTGGATGAGAAATAGTCTTATCAAGATGCTCTAATATTCAGATCTTGCTTTATGAGCAACAAATGGAGATACCTGGTTCTGGATTTGCTGAGGTGAAGCCGCTGCAGATCCAGCTGGTGCAGCAGGTCCAGCTGCTGCTGCAGGTCCAGCTGCTGCCACAGGTCCAGCTGCTGCCACAGGTCCAGCTGCTGCTACAGGTCCAGCTGCCACTGCGGCAGTTTCTAAGGGTAACACCGGACTGTTCAGGAGCTGCTGAGTCAGAGTTTGGGGGACCATTGGGAATCCAAATGGAGAGAACTTGTGATAGAAAAATAACATGCAATGTTACATTGTTGATTATTATTCCTAGAAGTTTTAAAAATCCCCCAATTTTCCTTGATTTTTTTTCAAGAAGTGTTTAACAGGAGCCACATTTACAGCAACTGTTTCATCTGAGCCTCATAAAATCAACCAATAATTATGTCAAAACACAGATGTCTTTATTTGCACGACAGTCTCCTGTGAAAGGCTGTCTCGCTTCTTTGAAAGCACATAAAAGAGGGAAAGGCCTTCATTTCACTGTTGCAAAGCGTTGAAGACCCCAAGGTGCAATCTTTCATGGTGATTTCATGATGCTTTGTAGTTTGTGTGTGTGTGTGTGTGTGTGTGTGTGTGTGTGTGTGTGTGTGTGTGTGTGTGTGTGTGTGTGTGTGTGTGTGTGTGTGTGTGTGTGTGTGTGTGTGTGTGTGTGTGTGTGTGTGTGTGTGTGTGTGTGTGAGATAATGATATCTTACCATCTGATTGCTAGTGGGTGAGGGGAACAGTGGCATGAATCCATAAGCTGGAAAAATCTGATGACGGTGACAAAAAATAGAAATCAATCATTTTGAAATTTCCTACTAAAAGATTAACCCTCTGAGGCTCAAAATAAGTTTTGATAAAAGGACGAACAACTAAGTCCTTCAGGGGTACTCCTGAGTTCAAAAATGCCCATGAAACACATATGTGGAGTAACCAGGTAGGTAGGTTTTAACTGTTGCTAATCTGCAACGCCTGCCTCCAGAGGGTTAAAATGCAGAAAAAATGACAGAAATCTCATCAAAATTTCTTCTACAAATATCCTACTAGAGGCTGCTGCGCCAGGGTCAGCTGGTTGCCAGGACGGGATGTGTAGACACTCTGAGGCAGAGAGAAGATCACCGGACCGCCCCCCTGAGCAAGCATGGCGTAATGTTGTAATGAGGTCTGGAGGTCTGGTTGCTGGGGAATCCCGGGATGTGTTTGATCCAAGGTGGGCGAAAGAGGATCTGCCATCTGAGCTTCAGATTTCTGGTTTGTAGCTTCAACATTCTGACCTCTTGGAGGATTTCCTTTGTGTAACAGCAAAGGGTTTTGGACATTTGGACTAAGCTTTAAAAGAAAAGACAGTGTCAAAATTAGATGCGTCCAAAAAATAAGTGATTATTCTGAAAGCAAAACATATACAATCATGTCGCACATTAAATCATAAACATACATTTTGTGATGTGAGTTTACCTACCGGGACACCATTCACTATAGCAGCACCACACAAAAACAAAAGTATGAAAACCATTTCTGAAAACAAATAAAACATTTCTATTCTTTTGAAATGTTTCTAAAATGGATCAACAAAATATTTTCCAGTGAAGACTCAGTTGACCACGCTGAACAAGTTGAAGTGGAACTACCCGCACAGGAGCATGAACTTATGCTTCAGTCATGGAACGAAGCAACCAATCACATCACAGAAAAAAACCCACTAAATTTACCTAATTATCTGCTGTAAATTAAGAAGTGAGTTTAAAACCTAAGAAATTCTGCTGAATTTCCTGAATTGCAGCTTTTTCTCTAATTATGATGCTGTAATGTCTATAGAAATGGATAAACAAACAGTGACAAGCTCAGCTCAGACATTCAGGTTTCCTGTTGCTCGGATCACCGGTGGGTGCGGCTGATGTGTCACCGTCTAGCTGTAGTAATTACTGTATCTTCAAACCATGTAGCTGTGACATGCAAAAAACAAGAATTTCCTCTACAGTTGCAACAAACATGTAAATTGTAGACAAATGACTTGATGGGATCCAGAAGTTCAGTGACTCAAAAGAATAATGAAAAGGCTTTCTCTATTCCTGGTACTCCAGGAACCACCTGAACTGGCTCCTCTCAATGTGGAGGAGCAGTGGATCTACTCCGAGCCTTTTCCAGATGACCGAGCTTCTCACCCGATCTCTGAGGGCGAGCCCAGACACCCTGCAGAGAAAACTAATTTCGACCGCTTGTATCCAAGATCCAGTTTTTTCAGTCACTACCAAAAGCACGTGACCATGGGCGATAGGAATGTAGATCGACTGGTAAATTGAGAGCTTTGCCTTCCAGCTCAGCTCTCTCTTCACCACGACAGACCGGTTTAGCGCATTCAGAGACGCAGAACAAATCTGCCTATTGATCTTGCGTTTCATCTTTTCCTCACTCGTGAACAAGACCCCGAGATATTTAAACTACTCCCCTTGGGGCAGGACCTCATCCTTAACACGGAGAAGGCATTTTACCCGTTTCCGACTCAAGACTGTGGTCTCAGGTTTGGAGGAGCTGATTCTCATCCCAGCTGCTTCACACTCGGCTGCAAACCGCTCCAGCAAAAGCCGGAGATCACGTTCTGTTGACGCCAACAGGACCACATCATCTGCAAAAAGCAGAGACTCAATCATTAGGCCACCAAAGCGGATCCCCAAAACACCTTGGCTGCGCCTAGAAATCCTGTCCATAAAAGTTATGAACAGAATCGGTGACAAAGGGCAGCCTGACTCTCACTGGAAGTGAGCCCGACTTACAGCCGGCAATGTGAACCAAGCTCTGACACCAGTCACATAGGGACCTAACAGCTCATATCAGAGCCTGGTACCCCATACTCCCAAAGTACCCCCATAGGGCCCCCTGACGGACATGGTCAAATGCCGTTGTCGTCGTCTTCCTCCGCTTATCCGGGTCCGGGTCGCGGGGGCAGCATCCCAATTAGGGTAGCTCCAGACTGTCCTCTCCCCGGCCTTCTCCACCAGCTCCTCCGGCAGGACCCCAAGGCGTTCCCAGACCAGATTGGAGATGTAGCCTCTCCAACGTGTCCTGGGTCGACCCGGGGGCTTCCTGCCAGCAGGACATGCCCGAAACACCTCCCCGGGGAGGCGTCCAGGAGGCATCCTGACCAAATGCCCAGACCACCTGAACTGACTCCTTTCGATCCAGAGGAGCAGTGGTTCTACTCCGAGTCCCTCCCGAATGCCCAAGCTCCTCACCCTATCTCTAAGGCTGAGCCCGGCCACCCTACGGACGAAACTCATTTTGGCCGCTTGTATCTGCGATCTCGTTCTTTCGGTCATTACCCAAAGCTCATGACCATAGGTGAGGATTGGGACGTAGATCGACCGGTAAATTGAGAGCCTGGCTTTCTGTCTCTGCTCCCTCTTCACCACAACAGATCGGCTCAGCGTCCGCATCACTGCAGATGCTGAACCAATCTGCCTGTCGATCTCCCGATCCCTCCTACCCTCACTCGTGAACAAGACCCTGAGATACTTAAACTCCTCCACTTGAGGTAGGACCTCTCCCCCAACCCGGAGTTGGCAAGCCACCCTTTTCCAGTCGAGAACCATAGTCTCAGATTTGGAGGTGCTGATCCTCATCCCAGCCACTTCACACTTGGCCGCGAACCTACCCAGCAAGAGCTGAAGGTCAGAGCTGGATGAAGCTAGGAGGACCACATCATCCGCAAAAAGCAGAGACGAGATTCTCCTGCCACCAAACTCGACACACTCCACACCACGGCTGCGCCTAGAAATTCTGTCCATAAAGGTAACGAACAGAACCGGTGACAAAGGGCAGCCCTGGCAGAGTCCAACCCTCACCGGGAAAAGGTCCAACTTTCTACCGGCTATGCGGACCAAACTCACGCTCCTCTGGTAAAGGGACTGAATGGCCCTTAACAGAAAGCCACCCACCCCATACTCCTGGAGCGTCCCCCACAGGGTGCCCCTGGGGACACGGTCATAAGCCTTCTCCAAATCCACAAAACACATGTGGATTGGTTGGGCAAACTCCCATGCCCCCTCCATCACCCTTGCAAGGGTATAGAGCTGGTCCACAGTTCCACGGCCAGGACGAAAACCACATTGCTCCTCCTCTATCTGAGATTCAACTATCGATCGGACCCTCCTCTCCAGTACCTTGGAGTAGACCTTTCCAGGGAGGCTGAGGAGTGTGATCCCCCTATAGTTGGAACACACCCTCAGGTCACCCTTCTTAAAAATGGGGACCACCACCCCGGTCTGCCACTCCACAGGTACTGCCCCGATGACCACGCAATGTTGTAGAGACGTGTCAACCATGACAGCCCTACAACATCCATAGCCTTGAGATACCTAGGATGAACCTCATCCGCCCCCGGGGCTCCACCGCTGTGTAGTTGTTTGACTACTTCAGCAACTTCTGCCCCCGAGATTGAACAGTCCATCCCCAGGTCTCCCGGCTCTGGTTCCTCCTCGGAATGCGCGTAGGTGGGATTGAGGAGCTCCTCAAAGTATTCCTTCCACCATCCAACTATAGCCCCAGTTGACGTCAGCAGCTCCCCATCCCCACTGTAAACAGTGTGAGCAAGTTGCTGCCTTCCTCTCCTGAGGCGCCGGACAGTTTGCCAGAACCTCTTTGGAGCCGATCGATAGTCTTTCTCCACGGCCTCACCAAACTCCTCCCACGCCCGAGATTTTGCCTCGGCAACTGCCACTGCTGCACTCCGCTTGGTTATCCGGTCCCTGTCTGCTGCCTCCGGAGACCCACAGACCAGCCACGCCCTGTAGGCCTCCTTCTTCAGCCTGACGGCTCCACGAACCTCTGGTGTCCACCAGCGGGTACGGGGGTTGCCACCACGACTGGCACCGGCCACCTTGTGACCACAACTAGCAACAGCTGCCTCAACAATCGCAGAGTGGAACAAGGCCCACTCGGAGTCAATGTCCCCCACTGCTCTCGGGACGCAGTCAAAGCTCTGCCGGAGGTGGGAGTTGAAGACCATCTTAAAAGGCTCTTCTGCCAGGCGTTCCCAGCAGACCCTCACTAAGCGTCTGGGTCAGCCAGGTCTACGCGGCATCTTCCCCCGCCATCTGATCCAACTCACCACCAGATGGTGATCAGTTGACAGCTCCGCTCCTCTCTTCACTCGAGTGTCCAAAACATACGGCCGCAGGTCAGATGATACGACTACAAAGTCTATCATCAACCTGCGACCTAGGCTGCCCTGGTACCAAGTGTACCAATGGGCATCCTTATGTTCGAACATGGTGTTCGTTTTGGCCAAACTGCGGCTTGCACAGAAGTCCAATAACGAAACACCACTCGAGTTCAGATCAGGCGGGCCGTTCCTCCCAATCACACCCCTCCAGGTCAAGCTGTCATTGCCCACGTGAGCACTGAAGTCCCTCAGCCGGACAATGGAGTCCCCTGATGGAGCACTATCTAGCACTCGCCCCAGGGACTCCAAAAAGGGTGGGTACTCTGAACTGATATTTGGCCCATAAGCACAAACAACAGTCAGCACCCGTTCCCCGACCCGAAGGTGCAGGGAAGCTACCCTCTCCCCCGGGGTAAACCCCAACACACAGGCAGAGAGTCTTGGGGCTAACAAAAAGCCAACCCCAGCCCTCCGCCTCTCACCCGGAGCAATTCCAGCAAAGGAGAGTGTCCAACCCCTCTCAAGGACTTGGGTTCTTTGTCTCACCCTTCACCTAAGATCAATTTATCATGGGAGACCCTACCAGGGGCACAAAGTGCCCCAGACAACATAGCTCCTAGGATCATTAGGGCACTCAAACTCCTCCACTACGACAAGGTGATGGTTCAAGGAGGAGGTGGTGATCAAATGCCTTCTCCAAATCCACAAATGGTTAAGCGAACTCCCACGCACCCTCCAGGACCCCCTTAAAGAGCCAACTGAGATGGCTTGGGCATCTAGTTAGGATGCCTCCTGGATGTCTCCCTGGTGAGGTTTTGCTTCAGGATTCGCCCGGGAGGAGCAGGTCCAAGTGGCTGGGGTCTGAGCCGCTCTACCTAAGCTACTGCCACTGTGACTCGGCCCCAGAAAGTGGCTGATTATGGATGGATGGATTTTGTACATCTTTCAGATATAAAGTGAGAAAATGGTTCCATACAAAGGAAATACATGTGCAGAACCTTTTAACTTGTGTGGTTGTTTTCTGTGTCTAGAAACAAAGACTGTAAAGAAATGTGCACAAAGTGTTTTCATCTAAATTCAATATTCAAAAGTTAAGTCAGTGGATCCGGTTGAAAGGCACTGCCATGTTGTAGCTTTGGAATGTGTCTTCTGATTTGAGATGTGAGGCTGATGCTTGGACCAGGCCTTTCCACCGGACATGCTAACGCTAGTTTACACGTCTCCAATAGCAATTTGCTCACACACACACACACACACACACACACACACACACACACACACACACACACACAGACACACACACACACACACACACATGTATCTATGTAAAGGTTTTACATTAATACTTCTCAACAATAATACTGTTTCTGTGTTGTGAAGCAATTCTCCCACAGGACAGCAGAAGGCGTAGCACTTTTCTGGGGTATCCTGCCATTATTGCAGTCATGTTTC